AGAGAGAGAGAGAGAGAGAGAGAAAGAGAAAGAGATTGTGGTGTATGTGTGTGTGTGGGTGAGCTGTCCTGCTATTCGCTAACCTTGAATTATAAAGTTCTATCTGCTCAGTGCCTAGTTTTGAGAAATATGAGAATTATTTTGAGTTTCACAACATGTCAAACTTTTTAGAATACAATTCTTTGAATATATTGATAACAACTCCAAATAATGTTATGATTTTGATAGAGCAGATAGAAAAATTTTATTGTTTCTGACCTCATGGTCTTTCTAACTCAAAACGCCCAAAAATTTCAGTTCTTGTTATTGTTCACTTTCAGGAATACAAGACAAGCTTTGCCATCGTGTGTATCATTGTCATGCATACGTACATCATCGGCTTTGCTCTGGGAATGGGTAAGTCTCTCTCTCTTTGTCTGTCTGTTTGTCTATCAGTCTGTCTGTCTGTCTGTCTCTGTTTCTCTCTCCCTCTCTCACCCCACCCACCCGTCTCTCTCCCTCCTTCTCTCCCTTCCTTTTCTGTCTCTCACTATGACTCTTTTTCTCTACCTCTCATTGTTATAACTAACGTGAAAACGACCAACTTGAGTCTCACATGCTCATATTATGACCTTATGTGGTTGTGGGTGAGTAGTTAGCGGTTGCTCTGCTGTGGTTTTCTTCTTCTTTCCTATCAAACATCTACCGTCCTGATCTCTCCTTCTTTTTTGTGTTTGTTACTCTCTAGTAACACCTCTAACCTTCGGCACTTATATGACCTTATTGTGTGCAAGTGCCATAAAACTTTTACTAAAACTATGTGGTTGTACATGCTGTAAAAGTCTTACCAAACATCCGTTCCTCTCCCCTGATATGTCTAGAATAAATACAGAATTGCAAAATGGCTTTGTCAGACTCTTGATAATAATAAAAGAAATAATAATAATAATGATGATAATGATAGTGTGAGTATTTGTTTCTGTGTTGGCGTTAATCCAAAGATCATAATATGTGTCACGAACCGGTGGAATCAGGCGCTCGTCAGTTTTTGGGCATGTGGAGATATTGGCATCACCTTAAAGCTTATTCATTTGTCTTGCCTTTGGTGAAAAAAAGATCTTTAAGACAGATCTATCAAGAATAGAAGTCGAGATATTTGCGATTGAAAGAGGTGGTGGTCGCCAGATTTAGGGTAAAATTGGCGAGAAAATGGCCGCCAAAGTGTGGTGACTTCCAAAGCTTGAGTCCTTGGAAACTACAAATTTTGATTTTTTTTTTTGGCCTTAAATCAACGCTTATCAATAAAATCCACCTTCAAAAATATTTTAAATGAACCTTAGGTGTTGAGTCAATAAACAAAACTTTGATAAAAAATTGCCAAACGAGCGTAAAATGGCCCATTTCTTTGATTTCATTATTATGACAAATGCCTGATTTCTCCACAGTGCCTCACATTTATGTTCATATTTTGTGTTGAGATAAAATTATTATAAAGTGTCTAGAGCTGTACTTACAGGAGTTGGTGCTGTAGAAATTATCTGCATTACCATTATTATGATGATGATTATTTTAATTATTTATAATGTTGTTATCATAATTATTATTATTATATTGTTATTGTTATTTATATTATCATTGTTAGTAATGTTATTGTTATTGTCATTATGCAGGTCCGATCCCTTTCATCGTGGTTGGTGAGATCTTCCGTCAAGAGCCCCGTGCTGCCGCCATGAGTATCTCTCTGGCCTTTAACTGGGTCTGCAACTTTATCCTCATGTTGACCTTCCCATTCTTACAGGTCAGTCTCAGTCACCTGTAGGTGCCTGTGTATTTGTGTGATGTGTGTGTTTGTCTGTGTGTGTGTGTGTGTATGTGTTGTGTGTGTGTGTGTGTGTGTGTGTGTGTATGTGTGTAACTGAGAGGAAAAGAGGTAGAGGGAGAGAGAGAGAGAGAGAGAGAGAGAGAGAGAGAGAGAGAGAGAGAGAGAGAAAAGAACTGTATTTGTACCTGTAGATCTGTGATCTGTTGTGGGTTTTTTTTTCTGTTGTGACTGTCCGCTTCTTAAACTACCTGCAGCTGCTTGAAAACGTTGATGAGAGTATGATCTTGTTTTTTTCTCTGTGGGTGGTTGGTGGGCTTTCTGCTGCAGTTTGCTCCTTCTTTCCCGTCAAATTATACCTATTGTCATAATCTCTCTTCCTTCTTTTCCTGGTATGTTACTCTCCAGTAACACCTCTAATCTGCGGCACTTACACGACCTGTCTGTGTTGCAAGTGCCGTAAACCTCTTACTAAAACTAAAATTTAAACTCATGTCTGTTGTCTCAGGCTATGAAGTTGTCTGCGGGTGGTTGGCGGGTGCTCTGGTTTGGTTTGCTCCTTCTTTCCTATCAAACATCTGACGTACTGATCTCTCCTCCTTCCTTTGTGTGTTTGTTTCTCTGTTGAAACTCCTCATCTTCGGCACTTATATGACCTTATTGTGTTGCAAGTGCTGTAAAGCTCTTCGTAAAACTAAATTTTTTTTACTGTCTGTTATCTCAGGCTATGGAGTTGTCCACCATGTTCTGCTTCTAATGGTACCCCTCCCCCCCTCTTTCCCATCCCTCACCCACCCCTGCCCCTCCTCATGTTTTCAGGAAGGTCTAGAAGAATTTGTCTACATCCTGTTCATGGTGGTCCTGGTGATTGCCATCGTCTTCATCTTTTTCTTCGTGCCGGAGACCAAGAACAAAACCTTTGACGAGATCGCCAACTCCATCTCGTTGGGTGGCCGTGCCCGTGGTCAAGGCCGGGCCTACGGGGTCAACAGCGACGAGCTGGCCCCCATGGACACGAGCAAAGTATGATGTGGGTCAAGGTCACACCAGGCACTCTAGGAGATTTGGTCTGCGTGGACAAATGTGTAGGGCTCATGTCAATCTATTCTCTCTCGATGGTCGCCCCTGGGTGATGCAGAGAGACGCCATTCTAGGGTGTTGAACCTTTATAGATTCCTTGGGGGAAGTGAGAGAAGTAGGAGGAAGGAGGAGGGGGGGGGGGTTGTGTCTCACTGGCTATTTTTTGTGTGTTCTTGTGCCCATTTTCTGTGCGTCCTTGTGCCTGCTTTCTCCATGTATTTGCGCCTGTCTGCACTGGTAGATTATAAGCCCTCGTTTCATCTGTCATTAAGTGGGATCTGCAGTTTTTGATCTGAGCAGAAAACATTTCATGTCTACGGAGGGGAGTGGCAGCACTCCAACAGGCCGAGAGATTTTTGTAATGCTTAGTTTGTATCGAATATTGAATTTAAAAAAAAAAAAAAAAAACCCAACCCAAAAAACAATTCATAAAAATAATAAAACTCAACCCCCTTAAAAAAAAAAAAAATCTAGGAAAGTTTGCGTTAACGGAGAGGCTGTAGTGATGTGGCAAGGTGTTGCAAATGTTGATGAGGGTATGTGTGTACTTTAAGCTGTCCCAGCCTCTGTTTACCTGTGTGCATACATGAATGTGTGTGTGGGTGTGTGTGTGTGTGTGTTTAGGGACTTTTGTAATGGTTTAAAATTTTATTGTAATGTGATTTTGTCTTTATGTATTTATCTATGTAGCTGAGCTTTTGTTGCACAAAATCTGGAATCCCTAACAGACATGATTCTGAAAGATGATCGTTGATGGAGATGTCAAAGCGCTTGAGGATTGTAGATTGTCGATGCCAGTGTGTCACGCTACTTGTAGACATGGTCAAGATTGTGTCTACTCTGGCATACAAGGCACTGACCCGAACTCTAGTAAGAGAGATACAGGCATACAAGGCACTGAGCCAAACTCTACTAAGAGAGTAACAGAGAAAAGAAACGAGGGGGTGGGGGGGGGAGGGATGTTGAACTGGCTTTTTTCTATGTGCTGTGTAAAAGTCCTGTCCCTGTCTTTTAGTTATTCCTCTGCGGATGAACTGGTTTTGTCTACCGTTTTGAGGCACCGTGTCAACGAGTCCGTTCATTCATGGCCTCTGCGGTGGAAGCATAGCAGGCTGGCGCTAAATGTTCCACGATGTGCCGGCCCGTGATTGGCTCTTTTCACACATTGTGTCAATCCAGCATGCCCTCTGTCAGACAGTACTTCCGTGGTGCTGTGCTAGATGCCATCTGTCTAGCGCAAAACGCCAGTTACTGGCAGTCATCACGTCTGGATGTCGCGCAAGCGGGAGATGAACCGCTGTGTAATTGTAGCGAGTGTTCCGTAGGATGTTTGGGTTTCAGAATTGCAGGTTTGCGTCAGTGTGGGAAGTATTTGTTGATGGGGTGGGTGGTTGGCGGGTGCTCTGGTGTTGTTTGCTCCTTCTTTCCTATCAAACAACTATCGCCTTTATCTCTCCTTTTTTTATTGCTGCTACTCTCCTGCAACACCTCTATTCTTCGGCACTTGCATGACCTAATTGTGTTTCAAGTGTCGTAAAACGCTTACTAAAACAATTGTTGATGGGCACGTCCTGTCACTTTTGTAACAACATACCTGGATGTGTTATGTACATTTGTACATGTCACTACACACCTGAATGTGTGATACATACATTTGCTTATGTAACAACGTACCTGGATGTGTTATGTACATTTGTACTTGCCACTACACACCTGAATGAGTTATGTACATTTGTACAGACATGTCTCAACAAACCATCACCTCATACCCGAGTGAGTCATGTGGACGTGTACACGTAGCAGCATACTGGACTATGTCATACAGATGTGCATTTGTTGCAATGTACCTGGCTGAGTCTTGTAAATGTGTACTTGACACGTCATTGTAACTGACTGTGTTATGTAGATGGGTACTTGACACATCGTGCACAAGAGTGTTTAGTAGATTTGTACCTGTCACATTGTACATTAGTGTGTCACGGAGCTGTGTACTCGACCCATCTTTCGTAGGAATGACACGTTAGAGAGTGGATGGTGAGCACAGTACAAAAACATCACCTGTTCTCCTATATGTAATGGACCCTGGATACATGTTTCTAATGTTCTCTTATTCATGTCATCAAGCTAATAAATGCAAGCGTACGCTTTTTAGAATATGCTTTTACAGTTTTGACCTTATTCTACATTACTTGAAAAAATGAAGAACAGAAGGATCCCTTTAGTTTTAATCTGACTTTTAGTATATGATTGTTTTTAGGTTTTACCTGTAATCTAGAATATTCTACAGCTGATTACATCTGTCATTGAATTCCACTTATTGTATTAGGGCATTATGATTCTTATGTTTTGGCTGCACATATTATGTCTTTTATAGACATTTAAATATAAGTGGTTTGTCTCATTTTTATGTCAGCATTAGAGGGACCCTGAATATGCTAGGCATTGTCCACAATAAAGTACTCAGTGATAGTACGAATTTAATTGGCATTGTACATGGGTGGTTTATGTGGTCAAAGCCATTTCTGGTCCTTTACTTTTTTCCTTCAGAGTGTTGTTTTTTTTATTAGGTGCGGAAAGAAATTGATTTTTGATACTGTGTTTTTCTGTGTAAATGTTGTCGCTTAGTTTTTTAAAACTTTCACACATTCATATACCCCTCCTCCTCCTCCCCTCATATGAACATATAAACATACATAGGTATAGATATTTTTATATATATACATGTGGACAATCTGTACGTGTGTGTCTCTGTGTATGTATGTAGGCAGACATACTTTGGCATTGACCCACAGGCTCCACTGATACGAAGAGAGTCTTGTGTTTTTCATATCCACTATGGGGGGTTTTGCTTTTTTGCTTTGGGTTTTTAAAAAAAAAATCTTTCCATTGTAGGAATATGTATTTTAGGAGGGCATCCTCAAGAACTCTGTAAGCGCTTTTGAAAAAAAAAATGTTCTGAGATCATGTGCCAAAGCCGTGACCTCGCAGTGGCGAGCGGTTTGTTGATGCTGAGGTGTGTGTTCCTCCCTGTCATCAGCACAGTGCGGTGGTTTGTGTCACTGAAGCGAAACATTTGTGTTGCCGATAGTTTACCGGCATCTGTGGTGTGGTGTAGCCGTTAGGTGCTTCACTGTTGCATGCAGGAGACCCTGAGTTTAATTCCCTAGTGGGGAGAAAATTTTTATCAAGACCTCAGTTTTTTTTGCTGGGATGCTCTATCCCTCTCAGCCTGGATTAACGTGGCAAGATTATAACTTAAAATCCTGTTGTCCACTTAACATTCCCAGCATGTAGCTAGCTGTCTTCCAAAATGCGAAGTCCTGGACACGTTGGTTTGTTTATAAATAGAAAGTAGTTTGTAATATGATACAAACAGGATCCGGATTACGAAGTGCTGTATGTATTGATATAGACAGGAAAATGTTAATAGGAAGCTCTTGGTGAACGCTTTCAGCGTTTCTTCTTTTTTTTTAAAATCTGAGAGTATGCAGTAAAACTCTTGGTTTGCTGAGAAAAAAGATCTTCTCTACAAAGTTGACAAATGAATCTATAATGTGGTAAAAAATTCGTGGAGCAACATATCCTCAAATATCTCTTTAACAGATGAATCAATGTCACCTATACTTTGCACAAGAATTTTTAACAATTTTTCTCAATTTAATCATATTATTTTTCACAATAATTTAGGCTAAACGAAACCAAGTTTCGTCTTAAATATGCCAATTTCTCTTTTGTTTTAGAATAATACGACAGTCATCCATAATTGCAAAAACGGAATAATAAAGAAAAAAAACCTTCCAAGTTTCGTTCCGCCCCAGTAATTGTTACAAAAAGTTCATTTTGTAATGAACACTTATTTTTTGCACTGATGGTTCTCAAACTTTGTGTTCAATAGGCATAGTGTTGCAATAAGAAGAAAGGACAGGCTTGCATTTGAAAGTGCTATTGTACCAGCTCTTGGAATGTGATCCTTGTAAAACTCTTAGAAAGCACCCACTGGGATTTTTTATTAAGTATTTCTAAAGGAATTTTCTAGAATACAAGTACAATGGAATTAAAGGTGTTTATGAAAATATTGATTTGCTGAAACAAACTGATACAACTAGTCACTGTGCAAAAGTTGGACCGTCTCTTATCGGTTGTGGAGGAGATATTTGACAATAAGTTGCGAAGCGATTTTTTGATTGGGCTTTGGTTGTATCTACACCTTTTTTTGACATGCTGTGCTAACCATCTAGCTCTATAGCGACATGTGATCTACTTGATAATGTGTATCAGGGAACTACAGTTCCTGAGGGCATCCCTGGCAGCATATTATTTTGATTTGACACATAATGTGTGCACTGTGTGTGTCTGGTCATTAAACGTTTGTGCACCAACTGCCAGTGTTGGAGTTTTCCCCCCAGAAACGTGTATGTTCTTAAAACGTTGTTTCAATCTCGCCTTTACCATTTCTCATGCCTGGGTTGGGCGGTCAGTCCTAGGTGGATGTTTGACAGTTGTTCCAATATGCTTTGCCCCTTCTTTACTATCAAACATCTACAGTTACTGTTCTTAAGTTCGTATCTCCTCTACTTACTTCTTTTCTGTCTATGTTACTCTCTAGCAACACCTTTGAATTTCGGCACTTGTATCACCTAGTTGCTATTCAAGTGCTGTAAAACTCTTACTTACTTTTTACCTTTTCATCCTCTGCTGCCGTTGAGCATCAAGGAAAAAAAAATAACCCTTACTAAAACTGAAATTTAGGTCAAACCTAGTGGCTAGTGGGTCACCAGGGCCTAGGTCCTGGTCTTCAAGCTCCATGCCACCAACACTGACCATCCTACTGTGTTGACCAAGAATTCTTCTCCATCCACTCCCTGAGCTGGCCGCCCAACATTGTTCTCTCATGTTCCATTTACTTGGCTTTGGTTCTCAGTTTTCATCTAATCTGGTTATTACGATTGTTTACCTCTATGTTGAACTGTTACTGTAAAGAATAATATGTTGGATTTTTTCCTCTATGTAATTGTTCGTTTGCTTAACTTTGCCGTCACATCTCGCTGTTCGGCGATGTTTACTACCCAGTTTCTTTGGATTTCCCCCGAAATGCTTGTGATCGCAAGAGTTTTTACTAAATGAACCTTGTGACGGCAAAGTGTTAATTTAGAGGTGCCGAAATTAATTATAAGTCAGGAAATCTGGATACTTGAAATGGCCCGACTTCAGGACGATGGTTAGGTTGTTTTTGCACTTTACTTATAAAGTCAATCTTGATACAAGATGTACCAGACAAAGGGATACGTTAATTTTGATTCCCCGCGCTTGCATTTCTACGGAGTTTGTGAAAAGTTCAGGATAGGTTTTGTTTTCATGTTGTTTTTTACATGGCTGTTAATTTTTTTTAGAGTTTTTACTTGACTGTTTCAATGTTCAACTTTATTTTACTGTAGTTCATTCAAAGCTGCTTACTCCTATTGTCAACAAGGAGCTGAAACGTTGCTTTGAAGGTTGGTTTTTTATGTGGGTTTATTTGTTGTTTATTTGTTTGGGTTTTATTTTTTGGTGGGGGGGGCGTGTCATAAGTACCAGCCTGTCTTTGTCAGCATTTCCTGTATTCTGAAGGTTATGACAAGATATGAGAGTGAGAGAGAAGCTAATCATCAGCTTGGAAAACTTTTGCACCTTTCTTTAGGTCTACATTACATGCTTTGCATTGGTTTTTTAAATCTGCTCTGCTAGTATTTTAAGCAGTTGATAAGCCTTGTAATCAAAAGACGTGAGTTCGATTCCTGAATGATGGAAAGTTCCTTCTATCGAATATCTCGGTTTTTCTAGCTGCAGGACGTGTCCCTCAGTGCCGGAGTCGAAGGAGTCTGAGTGAATCTAACATAATTTTGCCACTTACCTCAAACAACAAATTCGATCTAGTACAGATTGCTTCTTATGTGTTTCTTGTTTTGTCTATTGCTGTGACGTCAGTGCTTTGGCATGTGTTCTGTGTTGTAAGTTGGAGCAATAGTGTGGCCTAGCGTGACCGACAATGCCATCTATTGTATACACATACACACACACACACACACACACACACACACACACACACACACACACACACACACGCACACACAGGCTCCCCGCCTGCCCTGCTTATGGAATATAATGTATATTATTATGAATGTAATGCATGTACACGTATGTACATAGCTCATGTGGACACTATTTATACAGTGTGTATAAGTATATATGTAATGCTTATTTTGGAGAGAACCCAGTGTGTTAGACCTGAGTGTAAATAATAGGCCAGCGTTTGGAATTTGGTTCATTATAATGTGGGATCATTGCTAGTTTGTTGTTTTCTTTTCTTTTAAAAATTTTTGGAGTGTTATCACATTGAAATAGAGCTAGCTATTGCTGTATTTATTATTATGACATTTGTTCAAAGGATTGCCATTGTTTGAACAGTTTGATCTTCGTTGCAAATTATTATCTCTCTGGGTTTTTTTGTTTGTTTTTTTTTTCTTGTTTTTTTTCCTTTATAATCCTGCATATTTTATGCAGATCATGATGACGTGTTGTTTGTTCAGTGTAGAGTTTTAATGTGATCTGCCGCTAGGTCTAGTCTTTGTGATGTGGTTACTATGCTATATGCCTGCAGTTTGTTATGGTCTCTGTGTTGCCAAATGTACTGTACTTGACAAGGCAGTAGAGAAATAAACATTGGGAAATTTTACCAGAAGATAGCCTATCTTGTTGCTTTGTCTCCTGTCCCCGACTCCAGAGGCTGGGTGGTTAAAGGGTGCTCTGGTGTGGTTTGCTACTTCTTACCTATCAAACATCTATCGACCTTATCTCCCTTTCTTCTTTTTGATGTTTTTTACTCTCTTGTAACACCTCTAATCTTCTGGTGCTCATATGACCATATGCAGTTGCGAGCGCCGTAAAACCTCTACTAACTGACTGACTCCAGAGGACACTCCCCCAGCTCGGTTGGTATCATGCTGGACTATGAAGTGAACACACCTGGTTCGATTCCCAGACTGAGTGTTTAGTGGAGTTTTCAAGTCTTTCATACCACTTGGCTCAGTCCTATATTGGAGACGGACAGTAAATTCGGAAGTGGGTGGTTGGCGGGTGCTCTGGTGTGGTTTGCTTCTTCCTTCCTATCAAACATCTATCGTCTTTATCTCCGCTTCTTCTTGTGTTTGTCACTTTCTTGTTACACCTCTAGTCTTCGTCATTTATATGACCGTAATGAGTTGCAAGTGCCGTAAAACTCTTACTAAAACTAACTAAATTGGGCAGTTCGGCCTCCTTTATTGCCTAATTGTGTTGTTAGGGGCGTTGAACCCATACCCTTACTTCAGACTTCAAGGATTTCTTTCCAGGGTGTTCTGCAGGACGTTCGTTTCACTTTATATCTTTATTTAATTTTTGTTTTGTTTTGTTCTGTGCCCAATAATACGCAAACAACGTGATGGTAGTAGGTGAGTGCTCTGGTATGGTTTGCTCCTTCTTTCCTATCAAACATCTGTCGTGTTACTCTCAATTGTAACGCCTCTAATCTTCGGCACTTATTATATGACCTGATTGTGTTGCAAGTGCCGTAGAACTGTTACAAAAACTAAACCATAACTAACCACATTCTTTTAATAACAGTTCTACTGCGCTTGCACCACAATCAGGTCATATAAGTGCCGAAGATTAGAGGTGTTACTAAAACTAAACCATACTCCGTGGGTGGTTGGCGGGTGCTCTGGTGTGATTTGCTCTTTCTTTCCTATCAAACACATATCGTCCTTATCTCCCCTTCTTCTTTATTTGTTGTAGTTTGTTACTCTTTTGTAATACGTCTAATGTTCTGGCGCTCATATGACCTTATGCAATTGCGAGCGCCGGAAAACCTCTCCTAAAACTAAAACTAAAAACCATACTCTATTCTTTGGCGCTTATATGGTAGCTTTTAAGCACAAGGGGGCTATCCAGAAAAATGCTGTTTTGAGAAAATCGAAGTTAAAGTTTTTGCCCCTTGTTCAGTTTCTTTAAAATACAGAAGAGTTTTCTCTAATAACCAAACAACTATGCACGCTAATGAAACTAAACTTCTCCTATAGGTAGGGCAATGCCCACTTTTGGTGTAGGTTAAGAGTTCTGGAAACCCCCGAAATCTGGGTTAGCCTGCTTGTTCTTAAAAACCGACCACATATTACTAATAATTGTGTTGCAAGTGTCATAAAACTTTACCCAATTTAACGAAAGTATGAAACAACACCTGGTTCTGATTTAAACGAGTTGAGTTTTGGTACTGCATCTGTTTCTCTTTTAATATGTTTACATAAATTCTAGATTCTATACGCTGTTCCTATTTATAATGATAATAATAAATTACATTTCGAAATTATATAGTGTGCATGTCCACGAAGGCGGTGCTCAATGCGCTTTTGACAATAATGAAATAGGAACCCCCCCCCAAAAAAAAAAACAACAACAACAAACAAACAACAACAACAAACAAACAACAACAACAAACTAAACAAAACGAACCCGATAGACAGTATCTCAAAAAGAAAAAAAATGATGCATTCTTGTGTGAGTTATGCCTTAACTTACGCCCAGGTGCGAAGGCTGACTTGTTTGACAGGGTAATCAAAGTGAAACGGGACCAGATATGGCCTGTGGATATCACACAAGAATCTTACTCGAGGCGGCGACTCTGAGTTGTGAATGAAAACATATCCGGAATTCATATTGTATGTTCAACCGCCAAAATAATGGGGAAAGTATCTTATTAAATATCAGTTCCAACTAAAATTGAATTTAACTTTAGATGTGAATACACACACACAAAGCAAAGAAGCAGAAATGTCAGTACTAGATCTATATGTTATAGATCTACCAGTGAGTCTAACTCTTTGGTAAACATGACAATTATAATTTGTTAAATTTCACATTTGGCTATTTTTGTCTAGCCTTTCGCGGCCAAGAGCTGGTGTCATAATCGAGGTCACGATCTGATTATGACACGGTAAAAAGTCGAGGAAAAAAAAAAAACAAGCACTTGCATCAGTCAATAGATTATTAGGAGTTAGTTCCCCTCATATTTGTGAGGTAGACTCGACCAGTGTTGGTTAGCTTACATAACCAGGGCTTCTGATTACTTATAACTGTGGCCCCAAAGGGGTGAACAGGGTATATGGGGCAATGAAACAGTTTTGACTGCTATGCACATGTTCCCTTCAACTCTATTGGTAGACTCTTCCAGCCTCACTTTAAGCTTACTTAATCAAAAATTGCGACTGCTTATGGAGTGGCCCGAGACGGGTGAGCAGGCTATTTCTGTGGCCGTGAAACCATTTTTAATGTTAGGCATACTGTTCATTGTTGATTATAAATGTCTTTTT